TGTGTGTGTGTGTGTGTGTGTGTGTGTGTGTGTGTGTGTGTGTGTCTTCAGTCACTGCCTCTGTTTGCTCTCCAGGAAATGAGAAGAAGAAAAATAAATAAAGAAAAGGAGAAAGGAAAAATTAGACTACCGGGTGACCGGTTCCCTTCTCCAAGGGAGAAAAATTCTCCAAGAAGGGGCAAAATTGGTTCTCCGCTCACTTCTGCTGCCACCCCGGGAATTCGCCTCTCTTCTCTTTAATCAATAGTACAGTGTCTTTCTCTTTGGAGCCTGGAAAAACAATCTTTTCCATAAGGGAGAAGAAACAGGGAGAAAGGAAGAAGACTCCGAGTTGGTCGGGAGAGTTTGCATTAAACTCGGTTTTCTTCCTTGGGTGTTATTTCTTTGAATTTTAAATCTGAGCTAGCTTGCTTTCTTTCTTTCTTTCTTTCTTTCTTTCTTTCTTTCTTTCTTTCTTTCCTTCTTTCTCTGCTTAGCACCCAGATCCCCCTCCCTCCAATTGCTTTCTTGACTCCAGGGGGTAAATTTACCTTTACAGTAATCTTCCCAGTCCACAGCTCTCTGTGCTGCTTCCCCAGCCCAAAGCCTTTCTCTGATATGGCTGGGTTTCCTCCACAACACCCACCACTCCCTCCTCCACAGACTCCCAATTTGACTGGAGTAATTGCCTTTTAAGGTGCACTGTACGCATGACAGGTATTCTATTAACCCTTAAAACTCCTTCCTTCTTTAGATACCTGAAATGGCAGGTGGCCAACACATGCAGACCCATCTGAAATCACATGCATTTCATTTAGTTTCTACTTCTTTTTCTTTTCTTTTCCTCCCCACAGTAACATGTATATGCCATCCACACTGGAGGCCAGTATCCTATTATGTCTTTCAATTTTATCCCAGTATGATTCATTAGAAGTTAGACATTCAGGAAGAGGAAAGCAAAAACCACAAATATGCCCTGGAACCAGGCTTAACAAAGGCATGGATCTATCCCTAGCCTCATGTTGTCAGTTTAGAGATGGGGAAATTCTAGAAGCTAAATGCAATGCTCATTCCTCAAGCTTCATCATGCTTTTTGAGTTAACAGTAATTAATCACCAATGGCAAGTGAGTAATTTTTTAAGGTGGTCATAGGCTTATTTTATTAGGATTAGCTAATAAATCAGGCTGCATCACTGAAGGAGGAGTTCAAACTCTTCTAGGACTGAATAAACCAGACCTTAGAAACTGTCTCATTTATTCAGCTCTCCGGGAGCTTCCAGGCACTGTTAGAGACATTGTGGCCCAACCTCAACTGTAAATATCAGAGGGATGGAGAGACAGGAAGTTTTATAAGGAAAAATATCTGTTCAGCTCTGAAGTGTGAGCCACCACAATGAGGAACCCAGTATCTGGAGCCCACGGGCCTGCCTGCCACGGAATGAGACAGTTGGGGGGAAGAATTATTTAGAAAATGAAGTTTTGTGTATCCTAGGAATTCTGGTCAGAAATATCTATTATCTATCTATCTATCTATAGTCTATTATCTATCATCTATCTTTCATAACCTTCTCTACTTCCCTGATGGAAGTGATGAAAAATTCTACCTCTTTGCTCTGATATGAGAGAGCCCAAATTACATCAGAAACAAAGTGATGATATCAGCAAGGGATTGTTGAAAAGAAACGAAAGGATATTGCTAAAGTTTATCTTCATTTGAAATAAAGAAGCAGATAAAGTGCCTCAACCCAGACCGTAAATGAAGCCCACCTCCTCACAGCTGTCTTTGCCTCTGGTGGGCTCTGATATATTTTTCTAACTTTGAAATCTTAAATCACCACAAGAACTGATCATTAAGATGGGCAGAAGACTTCCCTACTTATGCTTTAATTTTTTTTATTACTACTATTTTTTAAAAGGAGGACATATTAGAATAACAAAGATTTGCTACAATCCTTGATTAGCTTCTAGGGAGCTTGATTGGAAAGGAAAAAACTACAAAGATATGGTTGACTTGAGAGGGAGGGGGAAGAAAAAGGAAAGTGTTTTCTTTCTTTTTTTTGAATATTATTTAGAAGACGGCCTCCCCATTCCACTGTTCCAGTCTCTCTTTTGAACAGACATTTTCTCCATATTGGATAAAGGTTGGTTTCTCTCTCCATTACTACCCCCAGCCTCACCCCACCCCAACAAACCTAGTATATTTCCATTCTGCTGTGTTTTTGTGCTACTCAACATGCCATTAACTTTAAGATTTACTCCTCAGCAGGCAAGCTGAAAGATGCTAAAGCCAATAAAAACTGCTCTCTGGGACTCCAACTAGGAAGAGTTTGGAGCTCTGTTTAGTATTCGAATGGAGGGAGGGCTGGGGAAGGAGGGTGGTTGTGATAGTGAAAACCGCTGCTGCTTAGAGAACCAGACAGCTCCGCGCTCTGCACCGAAAGTGCTGGAGGATCAGCTCTGTCCACAGCCCATTTGTGGCCAAGCATGAGGCTGCTGTCTATGTGGGGGTGGGTGTGCGTGTGTGTTTTCATCTTTAAAACCACCAGCTCTAACACAGCATCTTCGGCAGCTCTCCACACTACTGTTTATTAAAAACGGAATGTCCATACACATCCCCTACAACTTCCTCAGCCCCGTGCTCCTTCCCTGCCTGGTGATCAATCTCTCTCAGAAAGCATTTAACTTGCCCACATAGCTCCAGCACCGATTAATCCCCGCTGCACATCCTATACATTACTGTTAGGAAGCGGAGCACTGGGCTAATTTCGTCACCCACTAGCCACCCACACACATTCTACAACTGAACACGTTTGGGGCTCTGCTTTAAAGATAATAAAACAAGGAGAAAACAGGCAGGCTGCAGACAATTCCCACGACCACTTTCCTAAAAAGTTGCTGGGTTTTAATTCCTTGATTATCCGGTCTCCCCCTCCCCCAGACACTCACTAGCAATGATTGCATCAAGGGAGAAATCATGTACTATAAAGCTCTCTGCATGGTGAGTTTGGAATCAATTAGGGTACACCTTCCAAAATGCATATTTTGCACACACACACACATTTATTTCCCCCAAAACCCCGCTTTCCTGGGAAGGTGACAAATCCAGGCTTCCCAGACCCCCACTCCACCCAGGGGAAGGCTGGTTTCTTGCTAATTCTTGCCTTAGGTTTTGTCACTCGTTCCTTCAAACATCACCCCCCAACACACACACACATACACACACCATCACTCACACCACAATCAGATCATCGAGGCACACAGCTCGACAGAGAGAGTTTACTGCTACATTTAAATAAAAATATCTCTTGGAATTAGTCACCTCTCTCCCTTTTAGACGGCTGCACTCCTGCTCCTCCGGCCCCGAGCGGGTGATGAAGAGAGCATCTCCCTCCGTATTTTCAGCACCACGGCGATGGACAGCACCTCGGTCCCCAGCCGGCGGACAGCCCGCCCGCTAGTCCTGTCCGCTCAGTGTCCTGGGCTCGACCCGTGCAGCCGTCCCCATCCCAATCTCTCAAGTCACTGTCCCCCAAAACCCAAGCCCCATTTCCCCCTCGACCCTCTCTCTCTTTCTCTCCATCTGCGTCCTCTGCTCTCCCCCAAGGCACCGCTTCTACTAGCACCTCGCCCAAAGCCAGCCTTGCCCCGGTGAGCGGCTCCCCACGCACCCCAGCCCGGTCTCCGCTGCTCAAGCGCCTCCCTCCACGGCGCCCGCCGGAGGCTCCCTCTCGCTCTGTCCGCCGCTCGTCGGTCGCCGGCCGGCCGGCCGGCCCGCCCGCTCGCTCCTTCTCCCGGGCAAAGTTGGGAGGGAAAGGTGCACTCACCTTTGTGCATGCCTGTGAACCTGTCCTTCAGAACCGTAAGCTCGTAGATTTTGCCGAACTCCTCGAAGAGGGGCTTGAGGTCCTTCTCATCCAGGTTGCGGGGGATCTGCCCAATGAACAGCTTGATGGCATCGTGGTCCTTCATGGGAATGGTCGACGGGTTCCCCGGGCTGTGGCTTAATCCGTTCATGTGCCCGGCGCTGCCCGGGCTGCCGCCGAGCCCGTTGGAACTGAGGCTTGCGTTGTCAGCCTGTCCGTTTGCTAACGTGGCCATCTTTATATACATAGAGAAAATCTTCTTTCCTTTTATTCTTTCTCGCTCGCACTCTCTCGCTCCTCTCCCTCGCTCGCTCGCGCTCACACACGCACACGCACACACACACTCGGGTTCTCTCCCCCTCGGTTTCCCTACACCTCGCTCTCCTCTCGCTCTGCCTCTCTCTCTCTCTCTCTCTCTCTCTCTCTCTTTCTCCTCTTCTCTCGCTCGCTCGCTTGCACTCTCTCGCTCCCCTCCTCCTTTCTCTCTCTCTCTCTCCCCCTCTCCCTCTCTCTCTCTCTCTCTCTCTCTTTCTCTCTCTCTCTCTCTCTCTCTCTCTCTCTCT